AATATAAACTCTCCTCTCCTCTCCATATTTAACACTGTCAGTCACAATATTAAACAGGTACAAACAGAAAAAAAATATTTTCATATAAATACGTCATATTCATACCATAATGTACAAAAACAACAGGTAAATAATAATTTTACGCATTTAAAAGCTTTTGTACTTATATCTGTATAACACTAAGAGCAAACACGGAATGACTCTTAAGTATTAAAGCAACAATATAATGAAAATGTGATTGTTTATATTACAGCGCGTTTCAAGATTAAGTAAGCTTTACACTTGGGATAAGGTTTTTTATTTTCAATTGAAAATATATTTGTTCTTTTAAAATACAAAAACAAATTTTAAGTATTAAACATATAAATTATTTTTATGGATCGTTGACAAATTTTAGAAGTTGTATTTATATATTTGATTAAATCCATTTTCTTTATATAATCGCTAATTTTATTTAATGATTAATTCTTGGACAAGTTCAGAACTCAATCTGAGAATGTGAAGTTAGAGAAGTTAATAAGAGGGTATATTCTAAGTTTTCTTACTAAAAGTGGTAATGGAACACCGGTTTACAAAGTACTGCGGTAAGATACTCTAAATGTCACTAGGTCTAAGTTATCTTATTTCTAATAGAAATAGTATATACAATTATATATAATTATATATAAACATATATAAAACAGAGTCGTGATTGTTTCTCTATTTATAACTCAAGAACGACTGTATTGATTTGGCTGGAAATTTGTGTGTAGTAAGTTGGAATCAGGAGACGGTCTTAGAATGCTTTTGAGTTTGTTTGACCAAAAAAAAATGCTAATAAAATCCAGAATCCGTTTATTTACTACATTTTTTATTCCGAAACTAATGTGGACAAATTCGCGGGCAAAAGCTAGTAATATATATACATGAAAACATGTGTCAGAATATTATAAAATCATTATATCGTAATTTAATGACTTCACACCTGTTTCCTAATAATAATTCAATATTTTAATTTATTTGTCACCTCTCATTACTAACGTTATACCTAAATTATTTTTCTAATATGTAACTGTGTATTTCATCATTATGAAGGACAAAAATATTTCCTGTCGATATTATACATGAAAAACATAGGTTTGGTTTGGTTTGTATAAATGTATTTTAATTTTTATTATAAAACATTTAGGTTTGTATAAATGTATTTTTACTGAACGTCATGAATATGACGCAGCGATATGGATGTTATTTCTGCAAGTTTAATAATAATTAATAAACTTAAAGATGAAACGTCTTCTACACATGCATGTATACGAAGACAAATAAACTACGTCTGATAATATACATCCCTGAAATAGTGTGTCTTTATTTAATTTCAACACCCGAGTAGAGTCGAGGTTAAAATGTAATTAATTTAATCTAGTCCTTAAGTTTGAAATGACTCCTTGCTCATATCTCCCAAACAATAACTTGACACAATTTACTTTAAGTATTTACTTTAGCATATTTAAAAAAAAATGTGCCAATATTATAAAACAATTAAAAAGAAATACTAAGTTCTCGACCAACAAAAATGCATTAAACATTTTTATTGTAATATGAATCTATTATAAATCTTGACAAAGCTCTTCAAGTTTTTGGCGCGATCCCAGTTTGTGGATATTTGAGAAGTCCTTAAAAACTTCCACGTTATCATTCTTTGTAAACAGTTTTGAAATAACTGAAATAAATCAGACTTTAGTATGAAAAATAATAATGCTATTAAATCTTACTGTATGATCTTTCATAATGTACTAAATTATTGTTATAATAAGTGAATGAAGTGAAAGTAAATAAACGTTATCTGGACATTTGAAGGACGGCTCTTACAAATTACTTCAATTTATTGTAATACAAGTTTCTCTATCACCAATTTACGGAAACTATTATGTGGATAGGCGTTCACTGTAAATAATAGCTTCCCTTTGTATAATTTACGTGATCAGGGGAAATGTTGCTTACTCTAGAAATATTTCTGCAAGTTTTAGCAATTTTTAGCTCCTATGTTACATGTATTACGTATTAGTAGAAACTATATACTTATATTATAATATGCATAATAACTCGTTCAGTTGCATATATTGTTAATTTATAAATATGTACTTCATTTATATTTATTGATACATATATTGTAAATTGGAGTAAAACAGAACAAAGTTATATCTGCATACAAGCCAATCTTAATGAAATTAATTCTATTAATTATTTATCTACCCAATTACAAAGCAAATAAATTATGCTACCCAAGGGATAAAGACCACTTACGTAGATACAAATTGCTGAAACAAAGTTCTCTCATTTGTTTCCTTATGCCAATCATCTGTATCAAGACGAAATACAGAGTTAATATAATTAAAATGGTAATGTTTTAATTCTTAAGGTTTGTTATATTATATATAAGAGTATTATAGTTATATTATGTTAGTTTTGCAGTCAATATTTTGAGTTCCAAATCTGTTAATAATAAAGGATAACATAGTTTCAACTGAAAATTTTCTTTAATTGTATCTTTCTAAGTTATCTCATACTTCCCTGTAATCCAAGAAGAAAATATTTTTTTTCTATAATGCATTATTAAAACATATCGTATTAATAAAAAACAATCAGGTATAGTAATATTTAAAGCATTTACGTATAATAGAGAAATTTTATTTGTAAGAGAGAAAGTTCTTGTTATCAGCCCTCATTTATTACACCATCCGGCTGAACAGAGCTCGTCTTACTGAGATTGGTTTTGAAATAGTGACGTTCAAATCGTACCGTCGCTCTATTTCCATTATTATGACTATCTATAAAAATCTGGTAATCGACAATTTTACGAGATTTTAATTTTGTAAAACACATTTTTTTATGATACCTCTTGCTTTTTATATTAAGCCATCTTCTGAGATGCAAATGATAAAGATTCAATTCCATTAAGTGTTCGCTAACGTGTTGGCGTCTGGAGTTTCCAAAATATAAGAAGAGAATTTTTTTCTATATTTTTCAAATGATTTCCTTAATGTTAAAACCGTTCTATCGTTATTTATATTTCGGCTATTTTCCCTGTTATATATTATTTATAAATAGAGAACAATTTTGCAAAAAACTTTGATCGAATTATGTTTTAAACAAGACTACGGCAAATATTATATATTAGTATAAATTATAAATAAGAGATATGTAAAAAAAATAAGGATAAAGATTTAATCAGAATAACTGAACAATGTTTGTTAAAATACAAATTAAATTTGTATAGTATTTGTGCTTATCGGTTCTAGAAAGCCAGATAAAAGAATGGCCCGCATGTCTACTATTTTCGCGTTTATAGAAACGAAAAACAAGAAATTTCTTTTCAGTTTTGCCCTATTGCCTATGATACTATTATTTATATACAAAATTAATATTTCGTATAACTTTAGTTGAAAATATTAAATTAGTACCTTAGTCACTAATTATTATTAGTCATTATAAATGTATTTGCTGTCGTAATGTGCTTAATGCCAACGTTAACACAATATCAAACCTAATATCTCATTAAGATGTCACAAGGTAATGTAATTATTATTCAGGTTCAATACGTTCCTGCATGTTTGCAGCGCTAATGTAATCGCTGATTGTTTGTAATCAAGTATACTAGGCCTTCGGAGGAAATTTAATCATTTATGTTTAGAACAGGCTTAGTAAATTACTGAGCAAATTGGATTGCAACATCTAGAAAATTTGGGTTAGCCCTTATTAAGTTTAAGGCATGAATTCAGTTAACTACTGCCCTAGTATTATTTTCATATATTTTTTCCTTTATAAATTAAAAGTCCAGTGTGTTTCAAAGACATTACAATTCTTATTATATGAACTGCATTTGAATAGCAGACGGTCTACCTGGTAAAGGTACCGTTAGCCATGGATATCCGCAATATAGTTTTGCGGATGCTTTGCCACCCATGATTGGGATAAAGGGAGAGGAAAGCGGGAAAAAAGGAAAAGGGCAGGAAATAGTAACCGGTTCTCTCACTCTTTTGACGAAACGCAGCCATTAAAGGTTAAGTTTTCAAAAACTACTTTACGCCGATCTGCTGTGATCTTCTTCTTAATGTTAACTTATTATAAATAAGAATCACAAGTCACCAGTATGCATTTTTATTACCCAGTCTATTCAAAGTTCTCTCTCACAACACCTAATTAGTGATTTACTATTCAACCGACTCGCGAACTCATGTCGTGCAACTTGGCAAGTTCTCAACATAATAGTGTTACGTGATCCAATTTCAACTTAAGCTTCGTTTAATTTTCTATTAATTAAGATCAAGATTTTATTAATGAACTGATATCTAAAACCAAAAAATGTATATTTGTATCTACAGTCATAAAAAATCGTAGAAAAAGTTGCTTGTAAGTCGATATCTCCGTTCACCCTAATACCCTATATTCTTTATACTAGATGTTGGCTATTTACAGGTTTTTTCAACGATTAATTAAGTCATAATGATATTTTCTTTATTTACTTCTACTTGTAATTAAATAAAAATCAAGTGTTATCATTAATTTATAATAAATTGATACCTATTACATTCCTTTTTATTAAATGAGATTATTGAATATCTTTTGTGAGATAAAGTTAAAAAGAAAATTTGATATTGCTTACATGGTAGCTTTCTCAATATATGTATAAAGTCGTTATTTAAAATATGTTTTTTTTACGAAGGGAGTTGTTAAAATCACCTTTTTTCTAATGCAGATACCTACATAATATATTTCTTGTATATAGTTTACGATATATTTGTTAAAATATTACAGAAAAATATATTTAGCGAACGTTGAAGAAGGTACAATATAAAAAGGTTACAAAGATTTGGAAATAAATTTCCGAACCTAAATCCTTCATCAAGGAGCCTTAACAGAATTATATTATATTTATGTTTTTGTTTGTTTCAGAATGTGTTCGCAGATATGTGAAGACAATGAACCTAAATAGGGCGGTATAGAGTGAGTAATGATACAGTATGACCAGGTGGCTGGCGATGGTGACGCTGATAGCGGTGGCAGGGGCGGTGAGGGGGTGGGATTGCGTCTGCAATCCAATAGAGTGCGAGCCTTTAGAACCAAGTGGTTGTCCAGGCTTAGGAATCATCGTGTGGGATCCTTGCAGGTTAACTCAATTTCAAATGACACAAAGTCATCAATAAAAAATCTTTAAAATGTTAATTTTTTACGTTGCAAATAACGTAATGGTAATAGTGATTGTCTCAATAAATCCAAGTGCTGACTGAATAAATGTATTACACATTAGTTTGAACGGTACAATAATTTAAAGATTCAGAAATCAAGGCAATTTTTAACGTTTCTTTTCCATTAAAGATGACTGAAAGATTAAAAAAAATAATATTTTAAAAGTTCTAAAATAAAATCTAAGGGATACTTCGGACTTGATAAGAGCGTTGGGACGTCGTTGTCGTCATGAATAATTTAGTCGTTTGACCTTAATGTTCCACTTGTTGTAAGCAGTCGCCTTTTATATTTATTGAAAATGTTACATAATGTATGTTTCAAATTACTTATTCAGTCTTCTTGTGATTTACGTGTTTCCCTTATTTAAGATTATAAAACTCAGAAAAGAATTTTATCTTTATCATTATATAATGTAAAATAGCATTTAAAATGCACATAAAATAAGACTCTGAATGCCTTGAGTGTTCGTTATTAGTTTTCCAAAGACCATGCTGGCACGACGAAGTTCTTGTGTAAACTTTGATAATATAAAGATGTTGACTTTTGCGAAGAAATTAATAACATCACGAAATTATTTTCACTCGTTGAAAGATATTCAAATTTAATTATGATTATAAAACTTAGTATTTTTTTTCTCATTTGACAGGTGCTGTAAGGTGTGTGCGCGAACGGTTGGTGAAGACTGCGGTGATTTCAGGGGGACGTGTGAACCTGGTCTAAAATGTTATGAGGGGTCATGTGCACCTATTACGTGAACTATCAGAATGTAGGCAATCTGTATCATATGTGTATAGCAGTTATAAACAAACATATCTTCAATGTAGCCAAGGAAAGGACCAGCCAGTTTAAAAGGATAGATTCTAGGGTTGACAATAATTAATATTATTGTTTATCTAACATTTGATCTTTGGCAGCTTATAAAAAGAGGAGTTTTTATTTTAAGATAATTATTTAAGTTTTTTAGTTTGATTCTTATTTTGATACAACTTCATTTGAGAAACAATTGAAATACCTAATAAATTAATTGTGTTTATATTTAAAGATATTGTATAATTTTAAATAAATTATTTTAATTTTCACTATACAGAATATATAAAATAGGGATTTTCATTTATTTTTAGAAAAAAAATAGAACATTACAAATATATAACATTAAATTTAAAAAATATAACTTTGTAGAAAATCTCAAATTGCTTAGAAGATAATTAATTATCATTATTTGCATACCGATCAAACAAATGTTTTATATTAAAAACGCAGGTAATATATTTCAAGTCATAATTGATTCCCACAATATAATTAGATTCGCTGAATTAAGGACAGTTAACAATTTAATTAAGAGCTCTTTTGAAAAAAATATACATGTACCTTTTTGCTTTTATAATTCAATATTCAATTGATTACAATTAACAATTTAACATGAAACAATGAAAAAGTAGATTATATTGACCCTAGAATATCCTTTAGTGTATGAGAAATATTAATAATTAAATGTATTTCTTCCGCTACCGCTTTCTTTGAACAATATAAAAACATATATATTATAGAAACCTGTGTATAAAATGTACTCGTAATATATATCTATAATTATTTCTGTGTGCTTCCAGGTTACGAGTAGACTTAATTACTGTTTACTCTATTACTAAATGAAATGTAAACATTATAATATCTAGGTCTGTAAATATAATTTGAATAGCATTTTTATCTTGTGATAAGATGTATTCTAGATATTTAACTATATAGGAATATATTTTAATAAGGAATATTTATTTTTTTATTTTATAATATTTTATTTTTCATTTCTTTACTTGTACTCGTATATTCAGTCAAAATTATTTAATTTTAAATTAGTATGATTATTAATATTAATATACTTCTCCATACTCACAAGATATATTTTGTATTACTGTAATAAAATATTTAAGATTGAACATAACATACAATGAATGAAACAATTTGTTAAAACGAATGTAATAAAGCTTATTTATTGTTCTGTTAATTTTATTTAACTATTATATAAATGTTGCAGATTATGTAAACTTAAATATTGAAAATTCCTAAAAAAACTTATACCAACTGTAAATGGATAGCATATTTAAAGCTACTTGTTAATTGTGCACACATTAATTAAATAAGTTAATAGATAACATTGTATTTATTTATCTCACCTAACCCAAAGGTCAAAATAATTACTATTTTGCGCTATCAACATTTCGTCTGCCCGTAATCACGGTTGCTGAAAAGTAGCCAAAACGTCGGGAGCCAAAACTGAAAAATATAAGTTTTATTTAAATAGATAAACTAAAAAAAGTCTTAGATTTCAATATCAACATGAGTTTAAAACAAATATATCATTTATTAGACTTAAAATTAAAAATATAGGGGGAAAAACCTTTAAAAAAATCACAGTAGAAACTAAAACCTATAATTCTTGAGTTACGTATGTCATCTAGTTTACTCAATACGGAAACGAATTCAGCAGTTAAAATAAAAACACTCATTTTATAAAAAAACTAAACTGGCACCTATTCACTTGTATAATGCACACTATAACAGAAATTGCGTCGTGTAAGGAATAGATTCAACTTCTTAGATAACCTGGGACATTTAAAAAGTAATGAGATAAAATATCTCCTTTCACTTTGTAACGATATAATTTTATAACATTATTTCATGATTAACACAAGAAACGACTCTTTCTCATTGGATTATAAAAAATACATTCATTACATAAAAATATATATATGTATATATCATACATTCCAAACAATTTATATTCAATAGTGCTAACTATCGATATAAAAATGGGAAAATAATATAAAAACTAAAAAAAATTACATTAAAAAATTTGTGTGACTCTAAACGTGCCATGATTGGTCATGTTGCTTTTGAAGTAATTATGTTAGAATATTTCCCATTAAATTCATTTCCACTACATTAATTTTGTAAAAATCTACCCATTAGGTACACAAGGACTTAATAATGATGATTTCGACGGTCAGTTGGTTCATTGTAACCGAATATTAATTGACTAAATTTATTTTTAAATTAGAAGTTACTCGACGACTATATTGTATAAAAGGTGAAACTGAAGTATGTTCACACGGAACTGCTGAATCAGAATGATACAGAATGGACAAATTTTCTAAGAAATCGTAGCGTGACCTGCGATTGCACCGTAAATCTCTTATTTTTTAATTAACGACTATAACACCGTTGCATAACCGACTCATACACTATTTATATTTATTAAAAAAAACTTTATTTATTCCAGCTTATGAAATAAAAGCTGTTTGTTTTGACATACTATTGTAAATGTTCTTTTTTTTGGAAACAACAAAATGAGAGTAATTTATCTATAGGTCTCCACATAAAGCTAACGATTATATTTATAAGTGAAATTTTGGGGTATCACATCAAATATAATTTTAGCCATTCCGCCCTTTGAAATACAATATTATATTTGAAAATAATCTGATACTATTTTTAAAAATAATTTTCCCTGTTTTAATTAAAATAAAGACCTTATTGTAACACTAAATGCTTTGAAAGGATCATTCATTGTTGTACAGATATTTATAGTTATTTAATCTTTTTAAATCATACATATTTTTTAACCCCCTTTTAATTTAAGATTTTTATTAGAAATTTTCTTAAAAATATACATAGAATACAATTTATTTATTTCTGTAAATCATCACCATAACCAACAATGTGTTTTGTATAGTCCGCTTATAACAAAATTATACTTTTTTGTGGCGAATTAAAAAAATGGTCCGACATGTTTATTTTGTAATAATATATGAACGAAATGATGTTATACAAGGGACTAACTTCTGAAATTGAATCGCATTTATGGCCAAAATATTAACAATAATGACATTATCTTATAAATGAAAAATTTAAACACATGCAGAGAAAAAAAATGGTCAAATACTGTTTTTTCTTTTTTAGAATGCAGATAAAAAGTAAACCAAACAAATACTTATAAAGAAATACTTAAGAATGCGTAATTATTTTGATATAAGAGTCATGTAAAATTTATTTTACTGTTATATCTTAAATATCAACAGTATTATTAGCAAAAGTTAATACAAAAATAATTAACATATAATAACAGAGCCCGAGCTTGTCTTGTGTACACTAATATTCTGGTGAGATGAAACTACTAGACAAACGCTTAACCATAAGCGTTTATACGTCGTTCGGGTAGGTTTACATTGAAAGTTCTTAAAATATTTTTAAGTGAAATATATGTACATTGTTCATAAAACTGAAGTAGCATAACTGCATCGTAATATGTATTCTTTTTCTAAACGAAGTATATAAAGTGAACATTTTATCATAGAGTGAGTTATGTGAACGCTCTCTTAGTATTTGTACATTACCATGAAGACCAAGATAAACAGAGTTTCCTAAAGCAAACGCCTTAGGCGATAATTGCATCATCCTTGCAATTCTCTGTGATATCACTTCACTATCTTTAGCTCTTCGAGGACCAACGGATACTCAATATTGTTTAAATTAATCCGTACAACAATATGACACGGATGAATAGTTTGGAGCAGACTTTTTTCTACAGGAAATCATACCAATTTTTTACGAGAATTCATTAAATATAAATTATTAAACCAACAAGCAAAATTTGCGGTTAGTTTTTTTTTGTATCACAGTTTTTAGGATTAAAAAATTTCTTTTTCTTTTTTGTTACTTATTTATAATATGTAACCAAAACGTTCAAAATAATAAAAAACGCGTAATAATCCAAAAATATTAGTTTTGTATAAATAAATATTCGTGAAAGTCATAGATCTCATTATGTCAATTTCAATTCGTTAGGAACGGTCCAAAAAATAACGCGGGAACAATTTTATTGAATATTTCATAAATTATTTGTAATGGCCCTGATTATGGATGTAAATACTCAAAAACTAAAATAGTTTATGCAAAATATAAGGAAGTTTTGGTGCAATGCGGTTTTGAATAAAGGTTCGTGAGAAATAACAATAACGATAATACCAGTAACCACATTACGGTCATTTAGAGGTCGGTTTATTAATGTTACTTATCTACTTTATATGAAAATTTCTTGTCCATAGCAACTTCTAAGCTAATTTCATTTTAATGACCTCTAACCGGAACCCAACACGATATCTCGCACGATTTACTCGCAGGTTTCTTATCTCTATGATTTTGGGGTAAATTTTTTACATAATAGTAATGTTTATCCACGATAGAAGGATGGTTATTTGATAAATTGAGAATGTTATGGATAGATATAATTAATAATAAAACATGTATTTAAACCAATATGTCAAGTGTGTATTGAAAAAGTAAAAAAAAATTGAAATAGAATTAATTTTCAACATAATAATTTAACTGGATTCAAATATCAAAATTTTCATGTAAAGACTTCTTTTTGTATTTTTATATACAGACGTATAAAATAATATTTGTCTGTCTGTATTATTAATGATTAAAAAATGTGCTATTTTTAATCCTATAATATATTTTAATTTGTCTTGTGTGAACGATGTTTATATTAGGATTTTTATACGGAAAAAGAAGATTTTTCAAGTGTTTTTTTTATTCTCATATCTTTTTACTTCTAATAATTTAATTAATTTCCTTTTAATTATAATTAATGAAAACTGAAAAAGAGAGTTAGATGGAGAGTAAGGAGAGAACGGACTCAACATCTCATCCGACCCAACTGTCATCACACCTGTACGCGCCATACATTGGCGGCGGTGAC